ATGTTTGCTGCTTCCGGGGCTACCGTTGTGCGTCGTCCCGCCTCCCAACGCCCGCTTTACTCGGATTCCTGCCTAAGCTCCTGGGGCTTTGGCAAAAGCTCGGGCTTGGCTTCGGCAGATTTGGACTCGTTGTCCTCAGAGGACTTGTCTTCGTAGACGAGTCTCTTCTCCCATTTCTCTTCCGAGGATTTGTCCGACTTCTCATCTGCGGACTTCTCCGACTCCTGGGGCTTCGGCAAAAGCTCGGATTTAGCTTTGGCAGACTTAGCCTCGTTCTCCTCGGAGGACTTATCTGCAGACTCCGCGGTGGTCTCGGTCGACGCCTTCTCCGATTTCTCATTCGAGGACTTTTCCGACTTCACATCCGCGGACTTGTCCGACTTGTCATCCGAAGATTTTTCAGATTTCTCTTCCGCCGATTTGTCCGTCTCCTCCTCTGAGCATTCTTCCGATTTCCCCTCCTTCGCGGCGTCCTGCTTCAGGGGTTCCTCTTTCTTCTCTTCAGCCGGCGCAACTTTTGCTTGCAAATTAGATTCGGCTGTGACCTGCGACTCCTGGTTAGCTTCTTCGGGTTTATCTTGAACAGCGACCTGAGCACTCTTCGCCTCCTTCGCTGGTGGAGCAGCGGCTGCGGGCGCCTCCTCAGCGGATTTTTCGGAGCTGGCCGCGGGTTGTTGCGCAGCTGGTTCGTCCTTCTCGTTCTTTAGCGCGGGTTTCGCTTCCTCGACCGCCGGTTTCGCCTGTGGCTCACTCTTCTTGGTTTCAGCGGCCGCTGGGGACTGCTCGGCCGGTTCGTCGAGCTTCTTTACTGCTGGAACTGCCTCCTCGGCGTCGCGGGTCACGCGGTCCGGTTTCTCCTCGGCTTTCTTCTCCTCTTGCTCTTCGGGTTTGTCCAGGAGCTTCTTCTCTTCAGGCGCGAGGGCATACTTCTCTTCGGAGGATTCGGACGATTGGGCTTCGTCCTCCTTCAATTCGCTGGATTTCGCTTTCTCAGGTTTCTTCTCTTCTTTAGACTCCTCCTTTGACTCTGCGGACTTCTCAGCGGAGTCGGCCTGCTCGGAGCTCTTGCCTTCGAGAGGCACGACTTTCTGGAATGTTGAAGTGGAAACGCGGTCACGTTAGAACTCTACTTTTCCCTGCGGTTGACAGTGCCCGGTTTTAGAGATCGATCGATCAAATACTCACGGTTTGCTCGGCGGAAGCTTCGGCGGGTTCCTGCTTGGGCTCTTGCGGCGCAGCTTGCACCGTCTCGTGGGTTTCGGACGCGGCCGGTTTCAAGCCCTCCTCCTCTTGAGGCTGTTCCAGTTTCGGCTCCTGAGCTGGTTGAGATTGCGCCTCCTGGCTCGGTTGCGGCTGCTCGGGCAGCTTCTTCTCTGGGATGATCAGGTCATCCTTCTTCTCTTCGGGTTTCGCAGCTGGTTCCTCCTTCTTCTCCTCGGGCTTCTCAGGCAGCGGGTCCGGTATCGGGTCGCTCTTCAGGTTGCGCTTGTCGGCGGACTCGGCCGACTGCGCCGGGGCCGGTTCCACTTTCACGGCTTTCTGTTTCGGATCGGGTGCGGTGCCCGGCATCGGCAAGACGTCCACGTGGGCCAGCCCGACCGATGCAGGCAACGGCAACGCGAACGACGCCTTTAACACTGCCAGGCACATCATCGTTGTCACGATCAGCTTCATCTTCGTACCTGTGGAACGAGAAGGAAGATTTTTGAGTCTCGTCTAGAATTTTATATACTTGTCCGTGCTCTCCTCTCTCTCTATCTTTCTCGCGACGACAGACAGTGTTCCGCAACGTTGTTTCATAATTTTAATTCAAGAGTAACCCGACAACGCGTACAACTGCGCGTATATCCACGGAAGAAGCTTCAGTTTCCTATGATTCTCGTTCGACGAGGTTAAAATTCGAATGTCCTCAGCGAAACAAAAGAATTGAAGCGGGACCGCGGCGGAAAAGAGCGAAACAACGCCAGAGGGAGAGGAAACGAGCTACCAGGGGACGTTTCCTCGCAATCTTCCAGTTAAGAGAGCGGACGTGAGCCACGCGGGACTCTCTGGCACTCGGCATGAATGGAGAACACGGCCGTATGAATGGGTCGCGAGACGAAAAGCTGCTCGTCGGTCGGAGAGAGACAGGGGAATCGGTCGAGGGAGAGGGCAAGGGGAGAAGAGAGAGAGAGGATGGACAAGGGGCTGCTTGGAGATCCGGCAGGAAGGAGAGGGACAGGTGACATTGAACCGAATGCATTGAATAAGGCGAGCGTTATGGAACTAATGACAGGATGCGTGCCCCTCGCGCTTGTTACGCGCCGCGTTCGCGCGGCGACTTCTCCGAAGTGACATCTTTCTTCGTCGCCCGTCTGCCCGCCGGAAGACGAAGATGATTAAACTCACGCGTACATCAATAGACGCTGGAGATATCTCGAGACGGATTTAATCGAACGGTGTCCCGGTGTCGTATGTTTAAACGAATTACTCGCGAACAAAGACGTCCGTTACGATTCCGAAGAGATTTTTCGTAACGGCGACTCGCGAGATCGTTGAGCGGCTGTATCAGAATTTCAATCGTTTTCCTTTTTTTTTTATTTATACGAACGAATATACAGAGTCGCGGGTCGTGGTCAATCGGAGCACGGTGGTTGCGTGATCCGCGAACGGAAAGTGATACATGGGTGGGTCTTCCGGTGCCCGTGGAAACGGAAGGAGAGACTGTCCGGTCCGCTTCGATGGTATCATCAGTGTCTATTGAGATTATAGAGATTCTATTTTGGAGAATCCTCTCGATGACACGGACTGTTGCCGAAAGGAATACGCTGTATCCGCTATTTATCAAGGAGGCAATGGAAAATTTCTATAAAACTGATATTACAAATCTATTAACAGAATAAATTTCTCGTTATGTCCAACAGAAGCTACAGACATCGAATTACACGTTTAATCGAATCCCCGTTGCCGATTCTCCGCTTCCAACAGGTATCGTCGAAGCGTAAATCGATTCCACCGCGCAAATCGCGCGCGATATTACATGCCCGTGGAAGCTTCGAGGGTCTGTCAGCGTACAGACGAAACCGGAGACAATCGGCGTCCACGCGACACCGCGAAGTGGCATCGAGCACGTCCAGGCGAGAGTGTTCGACGAGCGAAACGTTGCGCTGACGAAATCCGCTCGCGAGTTTAGACCGGCTCCACGGCTGGATAAAACCCCAGCGCTCCGATAGCATTCTCCCGTACGCTTGGCGAGAGTACACCGTTGAACGACCTTCCGTTCTAGAGGTCCGAGTCCGCGGCCAATCAAGCGAGTAATTTATATCGAGAGGAAGCTTGTGGGTACTACGCTGTCTCCGAGAGTAAAGACGGCGCGCGTTCCCGAACGTTCCGCGCGGGCGCGGGGCTGCCCAACGAGATGACAGGGACGACCGCCTTATTTGTATATCTCTGGTGCCGAAAAATTGCGCAAAAGTGTCGCGACGGGGAGCGGGCGCCCGTGTATTCCGTTGTGCGTCCCAGGGACACGCCTTCTGCCCGGAGAACGCAACCGTGGCGGAATGCGCGGCGAACGGAGAGGGCAAATGCGGCGATAAAGAAAAACTGGCCGAGAGAGATCACCAGAGCTATTGGCGCACCAGCCAATACGACCAGTTTCAGTACTCGCAGGGGCCACGCGTGTTTCGGGATTAGAAACACCCCCGCTGAGACGACGATAGGCGATGGACGCGGCGCAAGGGATGGCCGCAGCTAGGATTTCGAAAACGAAAAGTACGAAGAGTCTATGATTTGATACGAAAATAGTCTGAACCATTGAAGTCTCAGATAAAGTTGATAGATATGCAACGTATATGCAAATTCGAGTAGATTAATTAATTAGAAATCGAGTAGATTAATCTTGAAAATTAGAAGGTCAAAGTCAAGTCCGGTGCTAATGGTAAAATAAGTTTTCTATGAAATAGAATTATTGTACCTTGCATAGAATCGATCGTTCGACGAACAAAATGATTTGCTTCTATCTGCGGACGAAGGGACTTCAGGTATTGAGAAACTAGTATTCGCCTATCGACCGTGTTGTGAACGGAGGCAACCGATAATTGCCGCCTCGCGCGGTGGTGACGTATCGAATGGACGTTTACATGACATTTTCCACGGACGTTTAATAGACGACCTCCGTCCGCGGAGTGCCGTTTGGAAGCCGAATAATTGGACCGGGAAGAAAAACAATGCGGCGATATCTCGCGACGCAGGGCGACGACGAGGAGAGAGGAGGGGGAATACGAGAAGGCGGCAGGCACGACTTGATGGGGAGGATACGCCTGTGAAAGATGATGGCCACCCATTACCTTATCAAGATCATCAGAGATACAATAATGACAGGCACGGTTACAAAGAAGTCGCGGTCCATCAAGTGGCTCGCCGCTTCACAATGCTTTCTGCTTCCCTTCTCTTTATCTCTCTCTTTCTTTGCCCCGTCCGCCTCCCCATTCTTCGCGAGCCCGCGGTCCATTGTACGCGCGCGTCTATACATTGCCGGTCTCTGTCCTTTTCGAAGCGATCGCGATTGTCGATCCAATCTGCGCACATTGAATCAATTGGTCAGGGAATGCGGCGCAGTTCGACGCGAACATGCTAGAACACCGGTCGCGTTCCAGCGATTATCAGTGGATCGATGACGATTCGAGCCCCGCCGATCGATCCCGCGCCGACACTCGATCGCGCTTTTTACTCCGCGCGATACCTCGACGCGTACACTTTCGATCTAAAAGAAACGCGGCTCGAGCATTGAAAAGTGGAATGTTCGAATGATTTTCACGATTACAATAAGCATGATCGTTGAGGCGTGTTTGACAACGGTTCGGTTTTAGCAGGGAATGTTCGCGAGAGTTATGAAACCTGTTAACATTCCTGAGAAATTGGAGCACTTCGATTCGGCGCGGTATACGAAAGAAAATTCCGTGGCACTTCGAGCGTTAAGTCGCGGGGGGAGCTCGCTTCGGATAGATCACGGGCTTCGTGCTATCACGTCGATACGCGCGTCCAATCGATTCATCCGATGGGGATGAGCGATTTCGTTCGGTCCCACGAGAAACAGACACCGTAT